CTGGAACGCTGACCCTCACTGCTCAGCTAAGGATCCTGGGGATTCTACCTTCTCTAAACACATCCAGCTGAGTAAACCCAGGGTGTTATTATACCTGGGGAGAGTAAGAAGTGGGGGGTCAAGGCACCAGAGCAAGAGCCCTCTGGGGCCTCAAGAAGAGAAGTGAAGCTGGAACCATCAGGGAATATGAGTGAATTTTGGCACAAACTGGGCTGCTGCGTGGTAGAGAAACCCCAGCCGGTGAGTTTCCCAACACCCCCACCCCAAAAAACTTAGTTACCTTATGCTGTGAAGTGGATATACCATCTAGGATCTACCTTCTAAAAAGCACACTTCTTGCCTCTCTGTCAGGAAAGTTTCTAGGCCAGGCAGATGTATACATACAATAAAAGGGACCACGTGATGGAAGAAATGAATGTCCTAGCTATCACTTCCTGTTCCTGTCCATTCTCAGTTGGGCAGGGGTTGTAGGTTGAGCTGAATACCTGTCAGCTTTTCCCCATTGTTTCCTCATCAGCCAGGATATGACTTTGACATATCCTTTTTTTTGAACATTCACTCTGCAGGCCACTGCCCTCCCCACTTTGGTCTGTGTGGTCTCTTGTTATTCCACCTTTGTCTTTCATTCCCTAGTGATTTCCCTGTCATAATGCTACTTCTGGCCATTGGCTCCTCCCTTAGTCGTTTTCAAGACTCTTTCCCCTTCCTCACTGACTTAACTCGTGACTCCTTATCATCTCTAAGCAGAAAAAGAAAAGACGACGAATCGACCGGACCATGATTGGGGAACCAATGAATTTTGTCCACCTGACTCACATTGGCTCTGGGGAGATGGGGGCTGGAGATGGACTTGCCATGGTAATGAGGGAATGATAAATGCCTGTGGACTGTAATTTTAATTGTTTTTGAAAGTTTAAGTGAGGAACAATACACTCAATGGGGAAGCAAGAATCTGGGATTCTAGTCCTGGTCACCAGCTGTGGAAATCTAAGATCTGGCATTTCAGATCTCTTGGCCTAGGTGACCTCATCTTTATAATTAGCATGTTCTTTATTGGGGTGGGGGATATATGTCTTAATAATTAGAGGACTTCTTCAAAAAATATAACCCCGGCCTGGGGTTATATAGCTCAGTGGCAGAGTGCCTGCCTAGAATGTGTGAGGCACTGGGTTCAATTATTAGCACTGCATATAAATAAATTAAAAAAAAAAAGATCCATTGTCAACTAAAAAAATATTTTAAAAAATAAAACATAGCCCTCCCTTCTCCTGATTAAGAACTGCTGAATCAGTGCCACAGAAAGTTATATTGTGGCTGGGAGTGTTGGAGCATGGAAACAGTCCAGCACCTCTACCCTAAATGATGTCTGTAATACATTTCTGCTCTCATAAAAAGGAAAATTGGTCTACAGATAGTGATGAAGTCTTTTTACTGATTAGTTGAACCTCATATGGGAGAATTGTTTTGTGAGAACTTATTAGTAAGATAAGTTCTCACAAAAAAACATCTTCACGAAGGCCAATATGAAGGGAGGGCATTGAGACTTCCCTTCGCGGAATGATAGTTAGTTTTCACCTTTTCAGATTGATATTGTCAAGGAGATAACAGCACTGGATAGACCTCTTACTGTGGGATATGAACACTTAGAAGGGTATCTCTCTTGCACCTTTTTTTGGTTTTTTTGGCCGTGCTGGGGATCAAACCCAGGGTTGCTCTACCACTGAGCTGTATCCCCAGCCCTTTTATTTTGAGACAGGGTCTCCCTAAGTTGCTTAAGCCCTTGCTAAGTTGCCCGGTCTGGCCTCAAACTTGGCGATCCCCTTGCCTCAGCCTCTAGAATAGCTGGGATTACAGGTGTGTTCCACTGCATCCAGTTCACATGTGTTTTTAACAGACAGGTGCAGTTCAGGAGCAGATGAGATCCAAGGGAAACCGAGACAGGCCGTGGAGCAATTCTAGGGGCTTATAGCCCCATAGGAATGGTGAGTGATTAGAGAAATGCAACACCTCAGGCACATGCCTGCACATCCTGATACCCTGCTTCAGAACCTGATCCTGATACAAGAATGGGAACTGGGGGGAAGAGGGAGGAAGAATTAGAATGGAGACAGAAATAGAGGAAAGAGCCCCTCTATCCTAAATAATGTCTGTAATGCATTTCTGCTCTCATGATAAGGGAAATTGGTCTAGGGATGATGGAATATTTTTACCAGTTATTTGAACCTCACATGTATATGGACAAGTTTTCTGTGAGGGGATCTTATTAGTAAGAGAGCCATTGGATGTCATCTTCATTGAAAGCCAACATGAAGGGAGGCAGTTCGAAGACTGCACTATGTGATGCCTTCTCCCTGAGGATTTGGTTGAGGCAAACCTTCTTTTAAAACACTTTTTGTTTGTTTTTAAATTTAGGTTCTACCGTCTTGAAGCCCCTGCTTTGTGTCCAGTCCAGAAGAAATGCTGTCCCCACCAGATCCTTCCTAGAACACAAGGGCCCTCTTTTGCCTATCTGCCTAATAGTGCCTCAAAAGGCATGGGGGCTGGACTCCCTCTACTCCCTCTGGCCATAGCCCCTCCTGGAGATGGGGTCAAGGCAGCAGGACTGACCACATGACTACTGTTTGGCCAGAGGAGCTCAGCTGAAGCCCTGGTACTCTAGATCTGAGCTAGGAGTTCTCTGGGAATCTGGAATGAGTTCCCTTCTCCTGAATGACGTTCTAGGTGCCACTTGTTTTTAAACTCCTGACCCGGAACTCCTTTGATGGGGTAGGTAGGTGGGATTATGCAAGCTGAAGCTGGCTTTGCTGAGAAGCTCCCTACCTTCATGCCCGTCTATTTCCTCCTGGAATTAACTAAAGTAGATTTCAAGCAGGGGCTGGGTGGTCACCACTGCCTGATCAAGTCCATTCTTTCTCTTCAGATTTTAGACCTTAAGCTATAGTCCCTCAATCTCTGCCAATACCAAGGTCTTTCCCTAGTTAGGGCTCTAAATCCTATGTTTCTGTAGCATTACTAGCTTCCCAGCACCATTCCCCACCTTTTTTTTTTTTTTTTTTATTAAAAATTTAATTTAAGACGAGTTATTTTAATTATCCCCATCCTGCTACTCCTACCTCTGCTCTTAACTTCATCCCTGTTAGGAACTTTATTGTTTCCCACTGAACAAGGATTAGGAGGTAGATGTTGACAGTATTCCATTTAAGTCTTGGGGCATCTGGCCTGCCTTCTACCAGCCTCCCTGTTAGCCCAGGTAAGAAGAGGAAGAGAGGGGCTGGAGAGAAAGCCATAATGCAGCAAAACTAGGAGTTATATCTCAAGATGGACTTCCTGACCATTAAGGATAGAAGAGTGCTGAGAGAGCAGTTGTCTGTGTTCAGGGTCTTTCCTCAGCATGGGAGCAGGAGAGGCTCTAGAATAAGGTTTAACCAAGACACAGTCGTCATTTGGAACTAGGTAATTTATTTGGAGAGCTGTTCTGTGCATTATATTTAGCAGCATTCCTGGCCTACCCTAGTTATGACAACCCCCAAATTTTATTGTCTCCAGAAATTACCAGATGTCTACTAATGGCAAAATTACCTACAGTTGAGAATCAGTTCTGGAGTCAGGATGGTTTTCCATCTTCCACCCTTCCCTAATCTGGTTGTTTATCTTAAGTCTGAGCCTTGAGTGAACTACAACCCCTTATAAAGTAGGCTCAGTAGAGCCGCACATAATTTTTTTTCACTCAGTGTATTATTTGTGCTTGCATAGGATTATGTCTGTGATGGACATGTATCATGCTTCTCCATTCTTGCTCTGTGGAAGAGGGGTTCCTGCAGTATGGAAACAGGAACAGGGTATGTTGGGATTGGAGAGGGAGGAGATAAAAGCAGCAGATATACCCTAGTTATTGTTCCCAAGTTCTAAGCTTTATTTCTGTGCCCTAGTCCTAAAACCAGACACAAGACTCAGGAAGTTTTGTCTGAAGACCAGGTCCCACTCCCCACCTGCTCAAGGCGGCTTTAGATGGGAAAGCAATGTAGGAGCAGGGTCTTTAGGCACTTTGTTTTCTCAGGTGTTTTTTTGTTCTGACCCTTTCCTTGCAGGGTAATTAGGAAGGCCGAACAAGACTATTGAGCTCCTGCCTGCTCTAAGACAAGAAGGCTGGAGTCTTGTTTACCTCTGTAATAGGAAGCTTATTTTATGGTAGAGGGGTCAGGACTCATGGATACTCAGTGGATTGTGCTTGCATAGGATCATTTCTGTGATCCTGTAAAAACTGGTATCCACTCTGCTGATTTCACCATCCATACAGTTTGCCCCACCTACAGTGATTGATGTTTCAATTTTTTTCAAATTTCATTGTACTTCCTACAGTTTTTCAGGGTCTAAGATTGGTCATAGAGATACATTCCCAGTTTACTCTGTTCTAGGCAAGTTAGTTGTTCTGAAAATAGCCCACCTTTTTGCCCTAAAGTCAGTGGCCTGAAGGTGAAGTCTAGAGATCTAAAGGGTTAACAGGATAGAGTGGGAAGGGGGCTGGCAGACTCCTGACCTCTAGACACATCCTAATATATTCTTTGGACACATCTTCTCTTTGGTGCTCTCTTGCCTTGAGCTGCCTTCCTTCTCTAAATGTATGCTACCATCACTTTAATAATAAAGTGACAGGAATGGGTTTGAGAGTCATAATTTATATTAAAAAATTGTTAGACTTTTAAAATACATTTTTCAAATAAAAAATATAAGCAAAATAGTTGCAGAGTAATCACTACAGGTGTGTCTTGGATTAAATGATAGATGTGGCAGATGCAGATAACTCCCCTAGAGTGGCTAAGATGGGATTTTGTACCAACATTGCCTTTCTGAAGAGAGGGCCAAGTATTGAGAAGTCAAGGAGAAGCCACCATCATCTTTCAAGGGCTGGACTCCTTGTTCTTCCTATTTCTTTCCTTGGCACTTGAGTTTTTTAGTCTTCAAAGTACTTGTTTAAAAACAATATTGGAGATAAGGTATCAACATTTTATCCTGGGGGACATGTGTAGAGGAACAAGCCAGAGGCAATGAAGTTCAGTTTTAGGATTGAAGAGATTTATGGTCTCTTCCCTCAAGTACTTCTGTAAAAAGACACAAGAACAAACAATATTTTTTTCAGTTTTGTTTTTCTGTACTAAAAATATCTAGTGGGTGCTGGGGATTGAAAGGGGAGAGGTTGAGATGCTGACACCTCCTCTTGTGGATGAAGTGGCCATTACCTCCGGTTTCTGTGTGTCTGAGTAAGGAAAAAAAAAATAGAGAAAAGGGGAAATTACAACCACATCTACATTCTTTCTTTTTTTTTTTTTTTTTTTTTTGTGTGTGTGTGTGTGTTGCCCAGGCTGGCCTTACACTAGTGATCCTCCTGTCTCAGCCTCCATAGTAACTGGGATCACAGGGGTTCACCATGGTGACACACATCTTTTTTTTTTTTTTTTTGCAATGCTGGAGATTGAATCCAGGGCCACACACATGCCAAGCAAATGCTCATAATCATTGAGCAGCACCCCAGTCCCCACACCTCTTTATCCTTTCGTTGCTTTCCTCCTTCCACAAAACCTCATTACCTCAGTCTTACTGCTGTCCCTCTTGATGCTTCTTTTTTTATTCTCAAAATAGTATTGAACAACTGGGCAGGGTGGTGCATGCCTGTAATCCCAGCAGCTCAGGAGACTAAAGCAGGAGTGTCACAAGTTCAAGGTCAGCCTCAGCAACTTAGGCCCTAAGCATTTTAGCAAGGCCCTGTCTCATGAGATGTGGCTCAATGTTTAAGTGCCCCTGGCTTCAATCTCTAGGACAGGGAAAAAAAAATATATATATATATATATATATATATATATATATATATACATACACACACATACATACATATACATATACATACATATATAGAAGGAGAAAGACAACAGAAACCAGAAGAATTACCAAGGATACCCTTTGTTTATTGCCTTTTTTACTTCCCTGTCATCAGTAGTAACTTTGACTACTTTATCAGGTCAATCAGAACCTTTGGTAACTCTTAGAAAAGGAAGGCTGTCTTTCCTTGAGAAAACTTAAGTTGCTTAAAAGAATCCAAGAAGGACAGTTCTTTGGGATGACAGTAGTTAAGAATATGGGCACTGGTGTCAAATCTGGTTTCAGTATTGTGGCTCTGCCACATACTAGTAGTAAATTTGTTTCTTTGTAAAGTGGGGACAATAGCTCAAGTTTGTGAAGACTCAGGTCAAGTGCACATAGTGAGAAACCTCACATTTTAGCTTTTGTTACTGTTCAACTGCATTAATTAGGTAAAAACAAATTCCTCCATGTCTGTTAACTGTGCATTAAGAAGTCTTTACCTAGGTTGGTCAATAATCATCTTATGGCCAATAAGACATGTTGCCAACAACCAATCAGCAGTTGTACAAGAAAAAAAAAAAAAAGATAGCCAGGCACAGTGGTGATGTACACCTGTAGTCCCAGCTACTAAGGAGGCTAAGGTGGGAGGATCACTTGAGCCCAGGAGTTTGAGACCAGCCTAGGCAACATACAGAGATCCTGCCTCAAAAACAAAAGAAGAAATAACATGTAGAATCAAGGGTCAACAATAACATGAATAACAAGTGCATGTTACGAATCAATAACTAAACAGGTCTAAGTAACAGTTCTTACAAGCACACTGGCTAGTTTAGCAACAGGATTGGGGATATCAGGACTTTTCAGAACCACCAACAAAGATTCTGGCTTATCAACAAAACACTTACTGGTTGCATCTCTGTGAACACTGAAGAGAGGCTATTCCAAATATCCTCCAAGCCCATTCTGACTTTTTTCCAAAAAACGAGACCTGGGCTAGGTGGGGGAGGTGGAAGGGTTAGGCGTCTGGTTTGGATGGGGGCCGTGGTGGTGGTGGTGGTGGTGGTGGTGGTCTGAGTGGTGCAGCTATTGTCAGAACAGAGATCTGAGTCCAGGGGGCACTCTTCCCGAAGCCGATTGCAGGGACATTTCTGGTAGGTGCAAGGCCGATGTTCTGTACGGATTTGTCTCAGTGCTCCAACTCGAAGTCGCCCAGAAATGCCCTGCAGCTTCCCGGACCGGGTCCGGCTCATGGTGCCTGACTTGCAGTGGCAGTGCCAAGGGCCCCAGGGCATCAGCACTAGTCTTAGATCCTCAGGAGGTGGCATAGCTGTGCGCGAGGTTGACGGCCACCCGCTGGGGGTAGACCCAGCTGTTGACCACCGGCTCATGGCCTCTGTGCTCAGTTCCCCAGTAGAACGCAAACCGGCGGCGGGTGGCAGGCTTGTGGTCATCCTGATTTCCTTCTCTTGTTTGTTGGCTGTTACCCTCCAAGTGCTGGTACTTATTGTCATAGGATCTATAGTGCGACCCTCCATACTGGTGTTATTCTTTCTGGCATCAATCACAACCCCCTCTTCCAAAGACCCATCATCATCGTCACCAAAGCCGGTTTCAGATGACCCCCTCATGCCTGTCACCGTGGCCAGGAGCTCGGCTGCTGCCGGGCCTGCTAGATGATCTGCGGTGGCCACTGCGTCATTCTCATCCTCCAGAACTATCTTCGTCTTACGGGCAACACTGGACTGGGAGATGCCGCCAGTATTCCGGCTGCGGGCTGGGCTCCCGAAGCTTAAGGTGACCCCCTTCGTCCCTGTCCCTGTCGGGGTAGTAGTCGGGGTCTGGTCCTGGGCCCCCGCCGCCTGGAGCCCCAGACTCAGCAGTAGGGCCCAGAACAGCACGCAGGCGGCGGGGACCATGGGGCTGGGTGGCTTGGAACTGGGAGGGAGGCAGGGTGCTACCTTCTCTCCCTCTTCCTCTCTCCACCAACCCGCCGGGTCGTTTGAACCAAGGCGGGGCGCTCAGAGGTAGAGGCGCGCGCCACACCCCTCCCCCTTAGTCCGCTCTCACAGGGGCTCCCCTCCTGCAGCCCCAGGGCAGGGGCTGAGCTAAAAATCCTAGGGAACCTCTGCAGCAAGAACTCTGTGCCAGAACCAAAAGGGGGATTGTGATGTAAGGGGCTGGGAAAACAGTCGTTCACTTTCTCGGCGCAGACTTAAATCTTGCACGGCAGTTTATTAACCGCTACAGGTATGAATTCCTTAAGGTGGGCGAATACAGGTTTTGAAAGTACTGCTTCCCAGACTCACAATCTGCAGACATGACTTAGAGGGAAAGAAGAGCATAGAGGCGTTCCTAAAGATTTTGTGAGCTGCACCCTGGCTCCCAGCAGGCAGGCTGGCTGTGGTCAGTTAAGCCCTTCTGGCCCATCCAACTCCTCTCCAAGACTCTAGAATACCCAAGGTAAAACAGAGGGAGTCCTTCACTTATAGAAGAGGAAAATGAGACCCAAAGAGATGATATTTGTCCAGTATTCTACAGCTAAAGATTAAAAACAAGAGCTCTTCACTTCCAATGCACTAGTGACTCAGCCTTCCAAACCACAGATGAATTGAAAGCCACCCAACAGATCAAGTTCCCAACCTCAAAGTCCCATCAAAACCAGGGTCATGTTCAGGATGGCATCCCAGTGAAGATCCAATGGTATTGGAGTTGAAGATGAGATGATTTACAAGACAGATGTTTCCAGGGTTGGGATGTAGGCAGATCAGTATCTTTGTTTGGTTCTAAGGCCCTTTATCCAGTACTGAGCCATGGAGATCCTGGTCCAGCCTACGGGAGAGGGGCAGAGAAGCAGTCAAGGAGCAAGAGGTTGGTTTAGAAAAAGGAGTCAAGTGAACTGGAAGAGCTAGAAGACTGGATGTTTAATCAAATATTAGCATCTTTTGATCCCTAACATCCTCTTTTCCACTTGATATAATCATACTTACTGCAGACATATTCCTTCCTTATTCCTAGGGCTGCTCTGAGTCTCCTCTAACCTCTATGCTGTAATTATTTCTTGATGCTTCTGCATTTTTTATGTATATATTTTTTCCTTTTTTCTTGCTGAATGCAGTAGTGTCCTTAATTTCTCTGTGTGTGTGTGCAGTTTGCTCAGATACACCGAAACACCCGAAAGCAGGGTGTTTTAGTTCCTTTATATCTCCCACAAGGTGTTAAGAAAATGGGATTGGCTTTACACATCCCACCCAAACCTTCATCTTTAAGTGCAGGACTCACTGTCTGACAGCTTCAGGGATGTGGACTTGATCCAGGGAGATGAGTTGGGCCAGCTCCCTCAGGCTGTCCAAAAAGCGTATCTTTCGTGTGAACTTGGAACTGAAAAGAGAGAATATATCAAATATGTTTTGTACTGGGAGGATGGTTCTTAGAGACCCTTACAAAAGGAAATGTGGTAAGTAGAGTGGTTAAGGCAAGAAAGGGCAAGATCTTTCTTAATTTTTATTTTGAAAATGGAGAGTAGGAGAATCCTTGTCCCAAACCTAGTACCTGATGAAGGGCCGAAGCAGTGCCAGAAATGCCTTCACATACCATGTGGCATGGACAACCACAAGGGCTCTCAGGTTTTTCCGAAGCCTGAAGAAGAATAAAATATCATCCCATTTCTTCTTGTTCCACCTTCAAACCTGAAGATCAGGTGGAGCTATCTTCTGTAATGCAACCATCTTCTAAAATGCAACCTCCTTGGCTAATTTCTAATATTCTCTGGTAACTGGGTATAATCCTCATTCCTTTGGCTGCAATCTCAGCTCCATCCATTGTATTCAACCCTCCAGCTCCTCATTTTTAGGAAACTCTCCTTTCAGAATCTCTCAGCCTGGTCTTCTCTACCCATTTCCCCCTGCCCATACTCTCACATAAGTTCTTCCTGCAAACTTCTCTATCACACCCTGACCAAGCCTATTTTAAAAATTCCAAATGGGAAAAAAAAAAAATTCCAAATGGAAAAAAAAAAAAAAAATTCCAAATGGAAGACCAGTAAGGAGGAAAAGAAGAAAAGGAGCAAAAAGAAAGAAAAAAAGTAAGCAAAGGGAAGATGGTGAAAACTAAGGAGAAAAAAAAGAACATCAGGAGGAAAAGAAACATACAAGTTAGGGATGAAGGAAGAGAAGAAAATAGACATGTGGAAAATGAAGTAAATGGCAAAAACGGGAAAAAGGGAAGAGCACTTTCTATGTGCCAGGCAATATGCCAGATTGATTTACCTGATTTTCACAAAGGCCAAGTAGCAAAGGTATTATCATTGCCATTTTACAGAGAAGGAAACTGAAATGCTAAAGGCTTGTTCAAAATTATATAGCTAGTAAGTGGTTAAAGGTGAGACTTGAAATGGTTTCCTGACTCTAAAAGAGAGCAAGCAGAAGACAGGAGATGCATGGGAAGGGGTGTAGAGGGACCAAGAAAAGATGAAGGGACTAGATAGAAGAAAGAATGGAAACATGGAAAAAAAAAGAAGAAGAAGAAGAGGGAAAGTTATAGCCTTCTCTCTCATCCTAAGGACTCACCGCCTATCCAGGGTACAGTAACACTGGCGTATCCAGCTCAGAGGTGGAACTTGGGCCCTGCTTGTGCCTCCGCTCAAGTGAACAAGCAGATAATTTTCAGCTACCAGCAGCTCCAGAGTTCCCACCATATATCTGAGGAGACAGTATTGTAAGGAAGGTATGTGCTGGGTGTTTCAGAGTAAGAACATTAATTAGTATAGTCTTCAATCAGCCACTGATCTTGGATGCGGCTCTTTTACTTTTCCCTTCCTAATGTCCTCCCAGTACCCCCTCAGGCTTTCCACCTTACCTAAACAAATGTTCCATGACATAGTTGTAGTTGGGGATGCTGCTTTGGGGTAGATAACAGGAAGCAAAGAGGATGACAGCATTGAGGCCATCACCATGGTAACCTGGAAATGATTAGGGAAAATTCAGGCCACAGATATGTATTGAGAGACAGTACATCTTTTATATGGAGGGACACTGAGGGTCTCTGGGAGTTATAGGAAAGATGCTGAGACCAACAGCTAAGTCTCCAGCTTAGGTATATCAAGAAGCTATAGTTTTATCCCTCTACTTCCTCTAGCCATTACCTCCATGAGATAGGACTTTCTTATAGGGCTCAATGATGGTCATGTCCACTCGTCGCTCCAACTGTCCTGTTCGGAACACCCTCCAGCGATGACCATCTTCTCCAGCCACATCCCACATGCAACCCTGGCCCAGTCTTTCTGCTGCTTCACTGGCCCCCAGACTCTCTGCCCGGGGCAGCTCATCTAAAACAGAGGAGTAAGGAAAGGTCAATGTGGTCAATCTCCCCTCTTCACTAACTTGTAACTTCTCTAGATCCCTAGAATTTACTACTCCAAACCTCTCATTCCTCAATCTTTTTCCTCTCTTTTCAGAATCCCTCAGCCTGGTCTTGACTCCTAACTCTTTAGCCCCTGTATGTAGTTAACCCAAGCCCTTCCTGGTCTCTTTTTCATTATCCTCACTTATTCACTAGAGATGGCCTTGGGGTGAACTTGCACTATGGCAGGTCTGTGGCTCTTACTAGTATCAGGTTTGTATACCCTTCCCATATTCTCTTTCTTCCCTACCTTCCCCAGTACTGGGGATTGAACCCAGGGGTACTCTACCATTAATACCATTAAGCCATATCTATGACCCCCCCCCCCATTTTTTTTAGGTACCTGGGATTGAACCCAGGGACACTTAACCACTGAGCCACATCTCCAGTCCTTTTTATATTTTTATTTAGAGACAGGGTCATGCTGAGTTGCTTAGGGCCTCCATAAGTTGCTGAGGCTGGCTTTGAACTCTCATGATCCTCCTCCTGCCTCAGCTTCTCAAGCTGCTGGGATTACAGGCATAAGCCACGGTGCCTAGCATCCCTGGCCCTTTTTTTTTTTTGGTACCAGGAATGGAACTCAGGGACACTCAACCACTGAGCCACATCCCCAGCCCTATTTTATATTTTATTTAGAGACAGGGTCTCACTGAGTTGCTTAGCACCTTGCAGTTGTTGAGGCTAGCCTTGAACTTGCAATCCTACTGCCTTAGCCTCCCAAGATCCCTGGCCCTTTTTGAGACACGGTCTCACTAAATTGTGGAGGCTGGCATCAAACTGTTACCTTCCTGCCTTAGTCACCACCATATTCTCTATTTCTTTACATGCTTCATCTATTCTCATGTCTTCAGTTACCATCAGCAAGATTATGACTCTCAAATTTGCCTCTTTAATGCCAACTTCCCTCCTAACTTCTGATCCATATCCCTGAATGCCTAGAGTACACATCTCCCTTTTGTGTTTCCCTATTATCAACAAGTCAGATTCAAAACATAATTCAAAATTATTCTTTTTCTTTTTCCCATACTTCCTGTTTTTTTTTGTTGTTGTTGTTGTTTTTGGGGGGCGGTACCAGAGACTGAACGCCAAGCACTTAACCACTGAGCTACATACCCAGCCCTTTTTTGTTTTTTATTTTGAGATAGGGTCTCACTAAGTTGCTTAGGGCCTAAGTTGCTGAGGCTGGCTTTAAACGTGTGATCCTCCTGCCTCAGCCTCCTAAGTCACTGGGATTACAGGCATGTGCCACTCTGCGTGTTCAGGAATGATTCCATCCATCTAGTTGCCTGAGGAAGAAAATTGAATGGGGCTGGGGATGTGGCTCAAGCGGTAGCGCGCTCGCCTGGCATGCGTGCGGCCCGGGTTCGATCCTCAGCACCACATACAAACAAAGATGTTGTGTCCGCCGAAAACTAAAAAAAAAAAAAAATATTAAAATTCCCTCTCTCTCTCTTTAAAAAAAAAAAAAGAAAATTGAATGTCTTCTGAGATTCTTTCTTATCTATCATCTCTCAAACCAACTGGACTCTACTTCCATAATTTTCTTTTCTTTGGTACCAAGGATTGAACTCAGGGGCAATCAATTACTGAGCCACATCCCCAGCCCTATTTTGTATTTTATTTAGAGACAAGGTCTCACTGAGTTGCTTAGTGCCTTGCATTGCTGAGGCTGGCTTTGAACTCACATTTCTCCTGCCTCAGCCTCCTGAGCCAG